TCTTTTGCTTCCCCTCCCCCACAGCCCAAACACACAACAGCTGAAGGTCTGGAGAAACAGTATTTCTTCCTGCAGCAGGGCAGGTTTTTCTAGACACATGCAGTGAACTTTTAGGGGCAAAATCACAAGACTCCGTTGGGTTTCGGTGGGACTTGCATATCTGAGGAGTCGCGCGTGTACGCACATCCCACTGGCAGAAAGCTTGTGACCCAGGGCACTCAGGTTGTTTCCAGCATATGGAAGGATCCCTTCCAATGAACGCTGAGCTGCTCTCAGCCCAGTCTGGAGGAACATTAGTCTCTGTTAGCTTTACTGAATCTAGGTTAGTCTGGTAAACGAGCATGGCATAAAAGGAAAGTAAAGAGCAGATGGGAGGAAGGACAAGAGGAACTTACAATGCAGTTTTCGCCTACCTTGAATTACTTTACTCATGGTGAATGTTAAGTCTACTAAAAATTGAAGAGCTGTGGAAAAAGCATGGAATCAGTGAAGAGCTAAGATGTGTTTAAAATCTCTCTACTCTCCTGTTGTTGTTAAAAGAAAGTTTGGTGCTTATGCAACGGCTATCAAAGTGTCCTTATTTTTCTGCTTTTTGGGCTCTTTTTTGGTCTGGATGAGGCAGAGAAGAGAGTGGGAGGGAAGGCTGGGGGGAGTGGATTGGGAGTAGAAGTTTAACAAAGGATCATTTTAACAGAAACTACTGAGTAATCGCTCTGCCCTGAGCCAAGAATAACATCAGCTCAGTGCCGGCAATTAGAATCAGGTCAGCGGGGCCTTGCAGTGGTGCAGCCCTCCTTATGGAGCCCAGCACGCAGAGCTACTCATGCTGATGTCACCAGTAGTCACGGCAAGTCCCCCAACTCATCTGAAAGAAAGGGTTTTTGCTTTCTCCTTTAGGGCAGGAAGTGAGTATGGCAAGGAAGCAGGGAGGGAGCAGTGAGAGAAGACATAGCGGGATTTATTAATCTACAACAGATCCACTCTGCCAACCCCAAACACCAGTACTCTGGCAGGGCCCATAAGCATCCAGAGGCTCATTTTACACGAATCACTACATGTAGAGTACCTGGAATCTAACTCAGAACACATAAGTGCTTATGAAGTGGTGGGTATTATTAATAAAACAAAAAAGAAAGAATCTGTCCCACTACTCATCTCTGCCAACGCAAAGACTTGAATCCTAGGAGCTCTGATTGCGGAGAAGAATAAATTCTGGGAGCAAGAATGAGCAAGGAAGTATTCTGATAACTTATTTATGAGATTGTGGCGCATAGGGTAAAAAAGACAGCAATGAAGTTCCTATAAAATTAATGTCTGAAATTTTATAAAGGTAACACAAAGGTTTAACATATCTCATCTCCTTTCCGAAGACACGAGAAAAAAAAAAACAAGAGGAGAAAATTTTAATCTCCTTCCTTCTCACTGAATCATTCTCCAAGTGCAGTTGCCAGAAAAGTGGGCTTAGTATCCCCTCGGGACTTGTGTGACATGGAAATGATGGAGTTCTCACCCCAAACCTACCGAATCAGAAATGGGCTAGGGAGAACAATCAGTGTTTCAACCAGCTCGAGTGGATCTGTTGCTCTATACTAAGGGTCTGCACACTAGAGCCTGCAGGCCAAATCTGGCTTGCCCACTACTTTTGTCAATAAATTTTTATTGGGAGACAGCCACACTCATCCATCCACATGTTGTTCATGGCTATTTTTCACTCTACCAGGGCAGAGTTGAGTAGCTGCAACAGAGACCCTACGGCCTCCAAAGCTGAAAGTATTTACTATCTGGTTGTTTACAGCAATATTCTACCAACTTTTGCTTTGATTTAAAATAATGTTTTTCAAACTTCTGGTTTCACCCATCAGAGTATAAAAGCTTGTAAATGTAATTTTGTTGATCACACTCCCTATCAAATGGCCCAGATTACACCTATTTTCTTGTATCTCTGTACCAGGAACCCTCTGCCAATGGCTCTGAGTGACTTCTCTCACACACTGCCATGCTAACAGATCAGTCTTTTGCAAGTATGCATTTGATGCATGACAGTTTCCACATTTGTGAGTACAGTGCTAGACAGAGAGGAAGATCAAAGCTCATTCTGCATAGACAGTTGGAGATGCCCCTTTCAAACTCACATCCTGAATCAGAAAGTGCTAACACCTGGAACAAACTGGATATCTAGGTGTTCAGACTGGAGGTACAAAAGGGAGAATAGCAATTGTGGTGGCGCACACCTGTAATACCAGCACTTGGGAGGCTGAGGCAGGAGGATTACCTTCAGTTCAAGGCCAGCCTGGGCTAGATAGTGAGTTCAAGGCTAGCCTGCTTGACAAAGTGAGACTCTATCTCAAAAAAGGGACAAGTTTCTTTGAATGTAATAGGAGAAAAGTTACATGATATTATCTCAAATATTTATTAGGAAATCACTGTGTGAAAGATGCTATTTGTAAAAAATAATCACTATAATAAAATATAAGGCTCCCTTCATATCCTATTCCCCAAACAGGTTTTTCTTATGGATTAATGCTAGGTAAATAAGATTTCAATTCTACCCACTATTCTCAAACACACAGTTAACCAAATCCCTAATTACCTATACTTTGGAAAAATGAGTCCAAAATAAAAATTCATTAAAAAGCACCATCTCTACCTGAAGATTAACCCAAGAACAGAAATGCAGAATAAATTAAGAGGGGGCTGGGGATTTAGCTCAGCGGCAAAAGCGCGCCTGCCTGGCAAGCGCAAGGTCGTGAGTTCAGTTCCCGGTACCGGAGAAAAACCAAAAAAAAAAAAAAAAAAAAAAAAACCCAGAATAAATTAAGAATATACACCAGGCTTTAATCAATAATTTGGATAATTATAATGGTCAAGTTTAACAACTTTGAAAGAGTTCTCTAAGATGCTAAATATTCTTTGTGTTAGAATAGTTAAAATCTTATCTTATTAGTTACAAGCCCTTTAAACTAACAGAATTTATTTTCTTCAGCTTTCCTCCTACAATCCTAAAACTTCACCATTACTAATGTTTACCTAAATCAGTTGTGGTTTAGAAGAAGAAGGGAAAGAAATAAAATGTTACACATATATATAAAAAAATCATGATGAATGATTTTTCTCTTCTCTCTCCAGGAGACAAGAGATAACTCCCTTCTTGGGAGTTCTGCCTCCTTCCTCAGACAGATATTCTGACAGATTCTAAAAAACATATCTTCCATATACTTCATATAGTGAAACTAAATCAGCATAATCCTCAGTGGAAAAAAAAGAACTCCATACAAGAACAGCAGTACTCTGAATTTTCAAAGGAATGTGAGTTGCTGGAAGCTAATCAAAAGCATGAGAGGGGCTTCAAAATGAAGCAGTTTCTAAAAGTGAAAATCAGCAAAAACTGTCTCTCCTTCCCTAAAACTTAAATGCTCTGCAAACAATTCCTTTTATTTTTAAAAACCATCCACCATGTCAAGGTATTTCATGTGTGGTTTGAAAGGGACCAGCCTAGACTCATTAGAGCCACAGATAATACTCACATAAGGGAAGTAAGGCCATGGGGCAATGTCTCCACCACCCCGCTTCTGATCATCTGATCTAGCTGGCACTCTCAAGAACTCAAAGTGGCAGGAAATTTAGAAATTTAAAAAGGTTGAAGAAATGTACACAGATTGTAAAAACAAAACAACAAAACAAAACTCTAAGGTACACATTTTGAAAATGCAAACTGACTTACATACTTCTACTAGCCCAAAGATTTTCCAAATAAATTTCTATATGACAAATGGCAGTGTGGTGATCAAAATGAAATGCCATTTTCTATGTTTTTCTGATTAAAAAGTCTAGATTTTTCTCCAGTATAAATGGTTTTAAAAATTACTTCACAAACATCTACAATTACCATTTTTCTATTATGATGCATTAATCTACAGAGCACCTACCATCATTATAGAGGATTAAATGATGAACTATGTTAAACAAATAAATGACCATATTTTATTATAGACAGTAATTGAAAAGGTAACAAAGATACAGGGTGTAATAATAGTTGATTTACTTAAAGGATAAAAGAACTTTGGGAAATATTCCATCTCTGAGTAAGTGTTAATTCTGCATAAACTATTGCAAACTATACTGTACTACATATTTTTATAAAAGAAGCAAATGGCAAGAGCTCAAATTGTTAGAAGGTATTCTTTAACAATGAAGGGTTGGGGAAGCCCATCAATCAGTATTAATTCAGCCCAATAACCTTACTGTGGAACACACTAGCTGATTCTAATGATAACCCTGAACCCAAAGAAAAATTAACTCTGTGTGGCCACACCTTTTTTGGGAGATCATCCTTTCTCTGTGATGGGGCTACACCGACAGAATGGTGTAATATACAGCTCCTTCCACATGTTCCTCAGGAGCTTCTGTCATCTCACAGACATCACTGTCTAGGGAATCAACATTTTTGTGTGCAAGCTCCATAATGGCAAGGTCGTTTGTGTAGATGGTCATGGTTACAGCCTCACTGTTTAAAACAGTGCCCAGCACATGATAAGACACTCAAAGAATGTCTGTCATTTACAGAAAAGCCGCAACCTCAACTTTGTGACCATTTCTTAGAGGAAAACTTCGCAAGGGATCTATTCTTTAGAAAATCTTGACAGATCATGAAAGATTAATATGTCCTTCTGTAGTAGTATATTTTGAAATAAAGATGCTTAAAATGCTAGCTTTTAGGTATCTGGGAATTAGACACTCCAGGAGGCTACTAAACTAAGATCATACAACAGAAAGGGTATTTATTACAACACAGATTTTTGTACATTCAAATGAAAGAATCATGTCAAACACTTGTTCCGCATTGCTCCCAGTGAAGTGAAGTTATGGTTCCCCATGAGCCATCGAAGCCAGGCTGAAGCTGGGAAACTCACCCTACACTGCCCATTCATGTACTTTGACTTTTTTTTTTTTCACCAACAGAAGGAAGATACTTGTGCATGGAAAAGCTTATCTTGAATTACCTGGTGCCGGGCTCGACTTTGGTCCAGAAGCTGCCGGGACTGCAGTTTTTGTTGTTCAAGTTGTTGGAGGGCAAAATGCAGCTGGTAACTGCCCGCAGTGGGGAGGTACTTGTGCTGGGGGACCACCCCTGTAGCCTTGCTGTACGCGTTATTCTCGAGCTCTCCTTCCCAGGCAAAGCCACCTGCTTGGAGGCTCCTGAAGAGAAAAGAAAGCAGATTTCTTGGAGTGGTTTTGTAGCGGCAAGCAGAGATGTGTCTCAGGCACTTTTCATTATTAAGCCATACATAGTTTGGAATTACAAATCCATTTGTAAATTATCTAGTCACAGCCCAATAAGGACAGGGACAGAGGTTGCTCTGCTCTCCACTTGACCCTCAGCACTTATCATAAGGCCTGGTACTCATGGTCGGTGGACAGTAAATATTTACTGATGTCAAAGAACTGAAATAGCAATTTCACTCCCCTGCGATTGCCTCAAGGACCTTCAAGAAGAGTCTAGAGAATTTCGAATTTCTAATTTAAGGTAAGAAGAGAGTCACAATCATCTTCTCTAACTATCAATTTCAAAAGTAAAGGGATAAATTACACAGACTCCTCAGTTTCTCTTAACCAGCCATTAGTGAAATATCTAAATCTTCTTTAGAAGCTATTTATACTAGAGCTTATATCTCCATCATAAGATAACATAAGTGGTATGAGAAGCTCCTTTATTCATTTTTCCAAATGTACCTCAATGTGGCCCCCCACTCAGGCTGACAATGAGCTTATGTCCACCAAGAAGGAAAAGACCTGGTAGCCTTTTTGACTGGTGAGTACCTATGACAGTGGTAGTAAACCTATGGTACGTGTGTTGTTTTTCTTTTAAGACAAAAGATGTTAATGTATGAGCTGTTTTTTCTGAACTAAAGTCTCAGTATTCAAATTTAATTGTTAACACCTGTGATAAATAAATGGGTTTTAGATTGCAGTTTGGGTACTCGCCTCTAAAAGGTTTGCCATCACTCTATGCTATATTGTGTATTAAATACTTTGCCTATCTTTCTTGCCCAAATTCTTAAATCCTTGATTCTGGTGACCATGTCTATGTAAATATATGAAAAGTCTTCACAGCTACAGGCTCCTATACTTCCTTCTTTGATCATTTCAGGCAGGAAAGTCACCATTTCATATGCATTAGCACGTCATATTCATTAGGATGGCCATTATCAAAACAAAACAAAACTAAAAAGAAACACCAGAAAGTAACAAGTGCTGGTGAGGATGTGCAAAAAATGAAACCCTGTGCACTGTTGATGGGAATTTAAACTGATGCAGCTGCTATGGAAAACACCTTGGTGATTCCTCAAAAAATTAAATACAGAATTCCCATATAACCCATCATTTCCACTTCTAGATATACACCCCAAAGAATTGAAATCAAAATGGGTAACAGTTCACCAATGTTCAAAGCAGCATTACTGGGCTGAGGATGTAGCTCAGTGGCCCAGTGCCTAACTGGCAAGTGCAAGGTACTGAGTTCAATCCCTGGTATCAAAAAAACCCAAACAAACAAACAAAAAATCAAAGCAGCATTATTTATACTAGTGAAAAGGGAAAACAATCTAAATATCCATTAAGAGATGAATGGATAAATATGTATTAGGAGATGAATGGATAAATAAAAAGTGCTATCTATATGTAATGCAATATTATTTGGCTTTAAAAAGGAAAGAGGCCTTGGGGATGTAGCTTGTTTGTAGAATGCTTGGCTACTATGTGTGAGGTCTGAGTTTGAGCCCTAGCAACAACAACAACAACAACAACAGCAACAACAACAGCAACACACACACACACACACACACACACGGAAATTCTGATACATGTTACAACATGCATGAACCTTGAGGAACCATGCTAAATGAAACAAGTGAGTCACAAAAGGATAAAAGGAATATGATTCTGCTGATAGGCGGTACCTAGAGTAGTCAAATGACACAGACAGAAAGTTGAATAGTGGTTGGATGAGGGAATAGAGAGTTACTGTTTAATGAGTACAGAGTTTCAGTCCAGAGTGAAGAACAAGTTCTGGAGAAGGATAACGGTGATAACTGCACAACAGTGTGAATGTACTAAATGCCATTAATTATACACTTAAAAAGTTTAAAATGTTATACAGTACCTATATTTAAACGCAATGTTTAAAGACCTAGTTACTGTGAGAATGATCTTATCTGATAGTCATTTCACCTCTTGAACACTTCTTGTGATTCTTCTCTGGACTTTCCTTATCTACACTATTTTTTTTTTCTTTCTTTTTGACCAGAAAAATTGTTCACAAAAGAAACATCATAAAGGCTCTCATAGTGAACAGCTTTATACTAAACCCAAGTGAATGATCTTGGAGAAATGAAAGAGTGCCTAATCTGAGATGTGTTCTTGGTGATTTATGCTATTGGGGCTGGCAGTGTAGCCCAGTGGTAGAGCTCATGCTTAAAATGCATGAGGCTCTAGGCTCAATCCCCAGCACTAGAAAACAAACAAATAAATCACTGTGCTAATCCTTCCTTTGGCATTAGTGATCACTCAATAGTAGAGGGGTATCAACACTGGACGTATGCAGACCTCCTTGAGTTCCGAATGAAAGGTCACCCGGTTGTTCATAGCTGGGTCCCAATGACCACACAGCATGCTGTGGAGGGAGCAGAGTGATCGTTTGCAGAGCCTAGGATTGTGTCCCCTTTTTTCGCCGGTGGCTTCCTTCATAGCTTGGTGATTTCGGATCTTTGCTTGGGTTTCCCAACTTCTTTCAAATAAGGAGATTCCTAAATACCTAGTTAAGCAAAGTCTGGGAGATATATTCTGAAAGCCACAAATGTATTTTATTCACGTAATCTCACCTCTGCAAGGTCACATCCCTTACTTAGGGACAGGATGCTCGGTTTGACTCCCATAATTAAGCTGCTCAACTGTAGCTAATCGTTTTGGAGGACAGTATCAACAAGCAAAGAGCTTCTTTATTCTTTTCCTTTCTTTGTTTTTGAGTATGATATGTGATCTTCAGTGATCCTCTGGAAATGCCATGATGCATATGCTATTGTACTGTTAAAAAACCCAAACTCTTGCAAGCTTATGGAGGTGTGAGGTGTCCACTGATAAAATAAAAGGGCCTAAACATATTAATGAAATGTAACATTACTCACAAAATATGGAGTGGGAGTAAAACAGGATTACATGGCTAGGAAAAGAGGAGCCAGAGGGACCCATCATCTCTCTTCTCATTAGCAAAGGAACAAATGTTTGCTGAAGATAATATATATAAAGCAGGCAGAGCAGCTAAAGGCACTGAGTTGCAACTAGAAGGAGGGGTGATGGGGAAAGGTATTCTTTTTTTTTTTTGAGACAGGGTCTGGCTATGTAGTTTAGCCTGGTCTTGAACTCGGGGTGATCCTCTTGCCTCAGGCTCCTAAGTACTGGGATTACTAGGATGTACTGCCATTCCTGGCAGTATTCAGGTTTAAATGAACACAAAATTCAAGGAAGGGGTGAGCAGCCCAATGAACAAATGAACACAAAGAAAGACAGATAAAAAAGCAAGAACTGCTTCGGCAAGTCATCTGGAGATCTCTATGCTACTGTACTACAGTATTATTACTTATGATGAATGGATCAAAGTAGTGATTCTGCTTCCATTCCTGGCTTGGCTGTTGATTATAGTTTATAGCCACATGTAGCAATCTAGACTCAATGTTTTCTTCTTTTTGTTTTTTTGAGATAGGGTCTCACATCCGCAGGCTAGTCTTGAACTCATGATCCTCCTGCCTCAGCTTCCTGAGTGTTGGGATTACAGATATGTACCATGACACCTAGCTAGTCTGCCTCATTAGATATTAGAGGAGTTATGTAACTACGTAGTTTATATCAAAATTTATCTCACTGGTGGCAAGACTGGTTTTATTTGCTAAAAGTCATTTTAATAAAAAACATTCCGAGGAGACATTCACTTTAATGCCTTCTTGTTGCATATCAGAAATCAAGTTGATAAGTAACCCACCTTAATTAGGGATGATTGTGAACAGGATTTTAGGTATGTGAACAGAGGCAGGAATCAACAGATGTATAAAGGAGAGGATATTGGATAAAAGATCAAATAAAGGACTTTGGATAAGAAGTGTTTTTTTCCAGTTGCACGCATATTGAACAGACTGAAACACCATAAACTTTTATAATGAAATCTGTTTTTAATCTCATCAGCAACATAAGCTCAGTCTCCAAATCACAAAAGGAAGTTTCTCAAGCAAGCAGAGGCTTTTAGCAAAGAGGCAGGAATTTTTACAGAATAATGCTGGGTGGGGGCACGGGGTGTTCAGCTGTGTAATGCAACGGGTGCCACAAGACGCTTGCTTTGAGTTACAGTGGGCTACTAAGGCCATGGGATTTTGCACTGGCAGCACCAGCCGTTAGGGCTTGCAGGATGCAAGCCCTGTGGTGACTGACACAGAGGCGGCCGGGAGCACTGGAACTTGGGCTTTCCTGGATTCCTGGTGCCTGAGATTACATATCTAAATACTCCTTTCTACATCATCTAATAGTTTTCATTCCATTCAAAATTCCATCCCATTTTCTGCAAGTCTTTTTTGATTTTTAAAATTTTTTTACTAGTAATAGTTTCTACCTCTACCAAAATTTCAAGAGTCAATCATTCTCTTTAAAATTTTGTGAAGTTACCTGTCCAAAATGCATGGGACAGAGGTGTTTCGAATGTTTAAAAAATACTGAAATATCTGCATATATGTAATGAGATACCTTGGGGATATCTTTACAAGCAAGAATATCCAACCACTTCAACAACAATTTCTGGAACGTATATATGTTTAAAGTTAGCAGAGGCTATACTTTCTTTTTCTACAAATTCTCAATCCAAAAGCAGCCCTGGCACCCAAGGAGTGTTACAGAATCTACAGATGACAGAAGGACTCCATGAGCAGTACAAATGGTGCTAGCCAGAATAAGAAAGCTACGTGACTGAGGAGGCATTATAATGTGATGGGGATCTCCCCTGGCTGTGCGGGTTATTTCCAAGAACAAAATTAGAATGGTTCTGCATGAAATGAACATTGTACGCTTTATTACAAATGCTTTCCAGGGCAGCTGGAGTTGGGTTGTATTCACAGAGATCAAATGGATAAGGACAAAATTAATAAGCTGGAAAGGATCCT